TTAACATACAATGACATGCAGAATGGGACGTACCTGAGAAATGGTCCAGGTCTATGGCACATAGAAGACTACAACTTCCGGCACCTCTTCGACGGTTACTCCACCTTAGTCAAGCTCCACTTCGAGAATGGCCGCTTCACTGCCGGTCATCGTCAGTTAGAATCTGAAGCCTACAAGGCGGCAAAGAAAAACAAAAGACTGTGCTTCCGTGAATTCTCGGAGGTCCCCAAACCGGCCAATTTCCTAGCCTACGTTGGGGACCTGGCCAGCCTCTTCTCCGGCATGTCCTTAACTGATAACGCCAATACCGGCGTTGTCAGGCTTGGAGACGGACGGGTGGTGTGCTTGACTGAAACACAAAAAGGGTCTATAATTATCGACCCAAACACGTTGGATACGCTTGGGAAATTTGTGTATAGTGATAATCTAGGCGGTTTGATTCACTCGGCGCACCCGATGGTGACGGATGCAGAGTTCCTGACGCTGCTGCCGAATTTGGTGAATCCGGGGTACTTGGTGGTGAGGATGGAACCGGGGACGAATGAGAGGAAGGTGATTGGGCGGGTAGACTGCCGAGGAGGACCAGCACCCGGATGGGTCCACTCTTTTCCAGTCACGGAGCATTACATCGTAGTTCCGGAGATGCCACTGAGATACTGTGCACAGAATTTGCTGAGGGCTGAACCGACGCCACTGTACAAGTTCAAGTGGCATCCTAACTCGAAAGCCTTTCTCCATGTCATGAGTAAAGCTAGCGGGAAAATTGTAAGTCTATGCTTTTCCTTCGTGTGGCTTTTAAAGGAATATTAACGGATGTAAGTCATGTAACATATGATTTGGTGTGTGAAGGTGGCAAGTGTAGAGGTGCCGCTCTTTGTCACATTCCACTTCATTAACGCATACGAAGAGGAAGATGAAGATGGAAGGGTGACGGCCATCATTGCTGATTGTTGCGAACACAACGCTAACACATCGATTCTAGACAAGCTCAGGCTTCATAATCTCCGGTCGTTCAATGGCGAAGATGTACTACCCGATGCAAGGTATGGAGCATTATATTTAGGAATTGCATGTGATATATATGCAGAGACTGACTCAGCCAGGGTTTGACAATAAGGGTTGGAAGATTCATAATACCGCTTGATGGGAATCCAAGGGGAAAGTTGGAGGCAGCATTGGATCCAGATGAACATGGTAGAGGAATGGATATGTGCAGCATAAACCCGAACTACTTGGGCAAGAAATACAGATATGCTTATGCTTGCGGAGCACAACGCCCCTGTAATTTCCCCAACACGCTCACTAAGGTGAGTTTCTGTTCATCTATATATATTCTTGGTATCAACTGAAGCTTCTATTCTAAACTGTCATAGCAATTGCGTTTTCCATGTATTTCAGCTTGATTTTGTAGAGAAAAAGGCCAAGAATTGGTATGATGAGGGAGCAGTGCCATCAGAACCATTCTTCGTGGCACGCCCAGGGGCAAATGAAGAAGATGATGGTGAGTTTGTGATCTTTGTCATTGAGTTATGCACTCGAAAAACAAAGAATAAGAATGAAATGGGTTTAAATTTTACAATGCAACACTGTTGCAGGGGTTGTGATCTCCATGATCAGTGAAAAAAACGGAGGCGGATATGCACTCCTTTTAGACGGATCTACATTCAAAGAAATTGCCAGGGCAAGGTTCCCTTATGGCCTACCATACGGACTGCACGGCTGCTGGGTACCAAAGAAATAAAATACGCTCAGGAGTTAAGGAGGAAACATACTTTACTCCGCATCCGAATGCTGCCTCTGATCTGCATCTGATGTATAATGATCGCAATACGTCTAAATAGACAGCATAAATCAGGGAGATTATCATATATGTATGTATAATGATTTCCAGATGTTGGATAATCAGACACTAATTGGTGCTTAGTATTACATAAATTTCAGCTGCTCTATATAAAACATGATGCATTAGGGTAACAATTATCATGATAGAAGAAATTCTTAATAATTTATTTTTGGAAACAAATGTATGGATACAGGAATTACCTTGGAATTTGTTTCAAAACAACAGAGAAAAATCGTTTCAGAGAAAAACCTAAATTAATATATATTATCTGGTATCAAGAATTCAGACTTCACCCATAATCCTAGTCCCTACTTCTTTTTAACTCTAATAAAGAAGAGTTAAGAACAAGATGAAGAACACGAGAAGGACCTGCAAAGGAGGTCCCAGAGGCAGAGCAAAAATTTGTTATCCCCCAGTTCTGTAACGTGAAGTTTAGATTCTAATTTTGCACTAATAAATGAGAACTGTTCCACAGAAGTAAAACCTTGATCCAACTGAGATTCTCAGGACAAATGTAAATCATTTCTGGTCTGTATAAACAGCATCAACATCATCAAGTTCAAGTAATTTAGACATAAGTTCAATATTCAAGTCCATAGCCTCATCATCCACCTGAAAGCCACCAATACTTTGACATGTAACCATATTTCTCAAGAGCAAAAGAAATAAAGGACAGGTGACGTTTTTAACATTCAGGAGAGAGCCAACAAGGCAGAAGATGTAGAAGCTACAGTCAGGCAGTTTATAATGGTATTCAAGTATTCAAGATAACATGCAGTCGACATATTTCTAGTTAGAAATGAAGCAAAGGCAGACTAGAGAAGAAGTAATAAAATTATGGACATACCTCAATGGTGTTTATTGGAAGTAGCT